ACGACTGGGTTCTCGGTTTGCGATCCTGTATGATGCATGTGCGTAAGTGCTTATGCAAAAGGTGCATCGGATGAAATGAGCACAATGGATATGCTTGAATGCAAGGTAGCCAACATCATCCAAGAACATGTACTACAATCACATGTCATCTACTGCATTCTCTTCTACTACTAATATGTTAAGTCAACACATCTCATTAAATGCTTCAAAGATACATCAAAGCCTCACTTAATTTCTTAAGCATACACAAAGCAACATTTGATTAACCCTAGTTAATAATAGGTTTGAATAACAACATCTATACTTATAGCTTAGAAAAATCTTAGAAAATTACCATAGCACATCACTAACCTAAGTAATCTACCATCAGATTTTTATGGCATTTGGATAAGTAGAATAGCCTACACAAAAATGACAAGCTATGGCATAATTATGAACATGAAAATACTTTGTATTATGAAAAGTGTCAAACAACAGGTTTAGTATTTTTCCTAGGTTCTAAACAGTAAATAATCACTGTACAAAAATTATCACATGCATGCTTTATACAAATTTTGCTCTCTAGCAAAAATAATAAAAATCAGTCATAAAAGGCACTTGAACTACACCTCATAATTTTTCTATAGGACATACATGGAATATATTTTTCACAGAAAGTACAGTACACAAGAAGAGTAACAAACTTGGAATCATATTTTTCTGAAGCATATAGGTTTTACTACACATTTTACAAGATATCAGCAATATCAAGGATTAAATAAAGCTCTACAAAAAAGTATCTCAAAAATGACATGCAATATTTTTATCATGTAGATCTGGTGACAAGAAACACCACAAAATTTGTTTCAACAAATTTGGAGCACCACAGCAGCAACTAGGTATTTTAGAATCCTCTTAAAGCATTTTCCAGAAATCTTTTTTTTTTTTTTAAAAAAAAATCAGCCGGGCGCAAAAAGCTAGGTGCACCCGGTGCTGTGCACCCGGGGTTTCCACCGGCCACTGCGGCTGGGCCCTGCGGCCCCACGGGTCAGTGACCCGAGAGCAGGGGAGAAGCCTCGCCGACCGGTGCTCACCGGCGGCGAGCCCTTCCGGTGGCGCAGGTGGTGCCAGCGTGCTCAACACGCTGAGCCGCACCGACTGGCAGAGTGGAGCTGGCCCGACGGCGTGACGGCCCGCGCGACCGTGGCAGCGCACTCGCCGGAGAGAAAGGGGCGGCCATGCTCGGCCCTCACCTCGACGACGGCAGTCGCGATGCGCGAGCACAAGCGACGGAGATTGACAAGGCGGAATCGCTGGCGGCGGGGGAATCGAGGAATGGTGCGGCGGTGCGGGAGCTCGACGTCGGCGGAGCGCTGCCGCGACTTAGCTTGGCTTCAGCGGCCAGCTGCTTCTTCTTCTGAGAGAGGAGAGGCGGGAGGGTGGCGAAGTGAAATGGCGGAGTGGGGTGGCGTGCACGCGTTCGGACCGCTTTGAAGAGCGGAGCACAGGGAGGGCGAGGCAAAAGGGCCGCCTGCAGCGGCGTCAGTCGCTTGCGCGCATGGCGGCCACGCCATGAAAGCGCGACGCTGTTGCGCATGGGGCAACTGCCACATGCTGTGTGGCGCAGCAGGCAGGCAGGCGGGCAGGCAGCGGGCAGAGGCGCGCCAGCGCAAGTTAAGTTAATGGGCAGCGGCGGGGTGGAGCGTGGGCTTGGCTGGTGGGCTGTGCGGAGGGGGCGGCTGACATTAAGCGAAAATGAAAAAAAAATTTTTTATTTCTCAAATAAATGTAACTCAAATTCCATTTTGAGCCATTTAAAAGCATTTTCATAAATTGGTGTAAAAATGAATTTATTCCATTTTTCAAGATCTACCACTTTGCTTTTATGACCAAAGTCAAATTCCAAATAGATTTTGAATTACAGAATTAAAATCAATATTAATTCAAAACCCAATTTTTGAAGAATCATTTTTAAAAGCATAGTTTGGCAAAATTTTGAATATAGACTTTGCTTCAAAATGCATTCTAATTACTTCTAAGTGGTCTAAGTGATCAAACAAGATACACACATGGCAAAACAAACATAGCATCTAATCTATTAAAACAAGACTATACACATGCATGTTTCATTAATATATTTCAATTCTATATTTCATGTCATGTCATGCTTATGAATGCATAATAATGATTATGATCATGATTTGCAAAATATTAATACATGCTTAACACCGAGTTATTACAGCTTCTATAGATAAAGTTTGTGTACGTGTATTTATAGAGGTGAGCGTGCCTGCCTATCGAAGACCTTGTCTATCGAGACGAGGAAGCCATCCCAAAAAAAAAACTCTAAGCAGGAGGCGAGGGGAGGCGAGTCGTATCAGCTGATAGGGCGGCTGCGGCTCGCTCATGGTGGTTTACGTGGTTCATACCCGGAGGGACCGGCGAGGTTGGAGAGGCGGCGACGCATCAGCCATGACCAGCAGGAATTTCGTGCGCCTCGCCAGCCGCTCCGTCGCGGCCACCGCCCCAGCCATCCCATCTTCTTCCTCCTCCGGCGGCGCCCTTTCACTGTCGCGCGCCGGAGGCCGCCCGCTGCGCGCAACCTCACCGCCGCCTCCGGCTTCCGTCGCCTCTGCCGCGTGCTGGGAGTCCCGCACGCTGCGCAGCGACGGAGAGGACTGGGAGGAGGTCGTCGTCGCCGAGGGAGATGCCGACGCACCTGACGCCCTCCAGGAGGCAACGGAGGAGCATGGCGTTGTGTTCGGGGTCGCGCCCACCGATGACGAGGTCCGCGCCGCCGTCGCCAGCATCAAGCAGTAAGATTCTATCTACTTTTGATAAAGTTATAGGTGTTGATTTCTTAGGTTGTGATGATCTGGTTGTATAATTGGATTATTGTTTGGAAAAGATCATTAAAGATTGGAGTTTTTTAGTGTAATTAATTACATGTTGCTTACTTAATTCTGGTGTCTGTAATTAGATTGTGAAGTTTTCCGTGATTTGTAGTTTTTGCACGGACCGGTAATCCGGTATTATTTACTGCAAATTGTCATTGCAAGTTAGCGTGCCTCAAATCACTCTATGTTTGTTTCGTGTATCCTTCAAATTGCTCAGAGTGTACGCCTTGCTATCAGATGCAGTTGCATCTCCAATTTATTTAATTGTTTTTTTCTGCTAATAGAGCAAATTTTCTTGCTTTTTTACTATGTTGATTGATACTTGCTCCGTCATTGCCTAGTTGGAGCTTCTTATCCTGTTAGTGGAGTTGTCACCCTTCAGTATTGTTTAGAGCATATGGCCTTCATATTTGTTTAACCGATTCAGTCTGTCGTTGCATTATTGATCCATCCATCTAAGCAAATTGACTCTTTCATGCAGGGTGTTTGAGAAGGCTCCTGCCGTGGACTCTGAACCTGCTGATCTACAAGCCCTCGCATTGCCCATCTCAGTGCACCCTTCGTCTGGGATATTCGTGAATCATTTTGCTCTGGATTCTGATGCGTCTGAGGTCGGACTAGATGAATGGACTGAACCTGCTAGGCTCGTTCTTAACTCAAGTGCTCTTTTGACAAAGGAACATCGAAGTGTACTGGATGCATTCCACCTATTGCATGAAGACGCTTCTGTTCAGGTAATGTAGCTTGATTTGAGTGGTGCTATTTATGCATAGAAATATGAATTTCGTGCCATAAACTTTGACACGCCATCAGCGTCAGTTCATGTATACTGTCTGCAAAAAATAACCTAGTTTTCCTGATTTACCATGACTTTCTTTTGCTTACATGTAGAAAATGGTTATGGCCTTGTCAACTGACAAGGCTGTATGGGATGCTGTGATGAACAACGATGTGGTACAAGAATTCAAGAAGTCCTTCCAGGATGGTATGTGGCTTTTAGATTCTGCTTTTGGCATCTTTGGATTGGCATGGGTGAACAATGTTTTTAGTTAGGCAGCAGCCCTTGAATAATCTTTTTGACCTTTTGTTATGTGAAAACATATAAACAATAAAACCCACTTAGTTCTGTTGGCCTCTTGTTTTATTAGTTGGACGAATCTGCATCTGATGCTACTTATCCTGTCTTTTAGCAAAGGAAACTGATCTCAAGGGAAGCTCTACTGCTCCTCCTGGATTTATGATGTGGGTCTTGGAAAACACCCAGGCAAAAATCAGGGAATTCCTTGAGAAAATACTTGGGCTCGTGAATATGCTCTTTCAAGCTGGGGGCAAGAACTACGATTTCTCTGATGATATAGTGAAGATGTCATTCATGCTCTCGGTGTTTGTCTTCATCGTGGTAACTATAGCTCGTATACGCTGAGCACAGCAATTCGTCGACTTCACAGTTTGGTGGTTTCTTAGTTGTGTGCAGGATTACTTCTAGAATTAGTCCTTTTCAACATGGTTATCTGTGGTGTTATGTCTTAGTTCTCGGGTCCAGAAGTTGCCTTATCAGTACTCTTGGTGGAAACTTTATATGTTTACTGTGTGGGAATGTCTTGAACGTTATTACATAATATGATCTACCGTGTGCTTCATGAACATTAGTATGGTCTAAAGGCTTGGCGAGGCAAAATTCTACAGGTTATCAGTGCTTGATGTAGGATGCAGCTTTGCATTTTGCATCCATGTTCCATGGTACATTTGAACAGACTTTACATGGTATCATGTGTTTGTTTGAGCGACCTTTTTTTTTTTGAGAACGTGCGGAGCATATATTTCACTAAATAGAAAAAGGAGTTCAATACAAAGTTGAGGCGATCATGGTACAAAACATGTCGAGAAAAGCCAAGGGATCATAGAAGTCGTCGATGCCAGAAGAGTCCAAGTACGAGGTTCTTGAAAGCAGCTCGAGTCAAAGTAGACGTCTCCTCCGTGATGGCTTGTGAGAGGGCAACCGACTGAAGAGCGAGCGGAACAACAAAAGACCGTGTTGTTGCGTTCCTTTCAGTTTCAGAGGTTTCAAGCGATCAAGACAACTTGGGTTCAGGGCTCAGTGAGTTAGATTGGATGTTTGTGGTGTCATTCATCTGCCCAAAACCCATGGAATCCCATTGGGAAGGTGAGGTGCTTGGGCACCTCAAGTTTTGCCACAACTGCGTCCCTTTCCCCGATCTTCCTTGCGTCCAGCACCACCAGATGGCACCTGTGATCAGACACTGCATACTGCGAACAAAGCAACATCAGGGTCAGCTGACATGTTTCTCTTTCCCCATGTCGGTTCTTGAATGGATGTGCCTCCTACCTCGACAAGCAGAACATAGCCGTCATCCTCGCTAAGGCCGGTCGGGACGAAGACCGGCTCACCAACGAACTTGCGCCCGGTGGCAGACCACGACCGTGCCGATCCATCAGCGACGTCTATCTTGACGACGCTGTCGAAGGGGAAGTACGGCAAGAACCTGCGTGAACCGGAGGCACCGCCGGCGTAGACGAACCGGTTCCTCCGGTTGGCGAAGCCTGGGTTGATCGCCGGGAAGTCCGCCGGCCTGGTCCACTGGTCGGACAGTCTCAGGACGGAGCATCCTCGGCACGTTCCTCTCTTGTCGAGGTCGATTGACACCTGCATTGGATTGGTCGGGGTGTACGTACCACAATTTTGTCACTATTGATATTCCACATCTGTTACAGTACCCCCCAGTACTGAACAAGCGATTGCTCACCTGAACAAGACGAGGTAGCCATTCCCTTCCCTTGGCTATGTTCATGAAGGACGGGTCCAGCTTCTTGTTCTGCCAATTGTAACCTGCGCCGGTAGCAGGTCAAAGAATTTCGAAGATGTACATGGTGAACAGCATTGTTCAATCAACAGGATTTTGAAGATGTATGTATCCGGAATTTACCGAACATCCTGTGGAAGTTGAACCACTGGTAGGAGCAGCCGGACATGTGGAGCTGTATGTTGATGCCGCCCCGGGCGTTGCGCTCCTCGAAGGCGTTGCCGACGTGCATGGACCACATCTGCGACGGCGCCTCAATGGGCACGCTCCAGTCGCGGCCGCTGGCCTCGGCGTCGGCCTCCGGGGAGCGCGGCAGCAGGTAGACGGGCGTGGACTGCCGGCTCGGGTCCACGGCGAGGGCCGCGATCATTGGGTGAGTGCCCGTGAGCGCCAGCAGCGAACCTGCACAAACACCGCACGCCACTCACGTGAGAACGCTGCAAATGACTCTGGCGGTCTGGCCTCAGGAGTTAAAAAAAAACAGAGAGAGAGAAGTACTCTAATCCCCTTCCGTACCGGGAATGTCCAGCCTGATTCTGTTGCCGAGGAGGACGTAGTGGCTGTCGGTGAAGGTCCAGTCGTGGATCATCAGGTGGTCCGGCACCACGAACTCCCGCGTCTGCACCAGCGCGAAGTTGGCCTCGAACTCTGCGGTGCAGTGCCGTCGTCAACGTCAGTGATCGAGCAGGTGGCGTGAACTTCGTTTGAATCTGTGATTGACTCGATTTGAGCAGGCTAAGGGGTGTGCAGTGCAGGGCGCGGACCGTAGAAGGTGAAGTTGGAGCGCGGGAGGAGCATGTCCTCGGCGTTGCAGGCCACCATCAGCAGCCGGTTCCTCTTGGTGTCGATCTTGTAGTGCGCGAGCAGCCGCTTGGCCGGCATGCTGAAGACACCTGTGGGAGCCACACGAGTGCACAAACGTCAGGTCGGTCGGGTCGGAGTGGAGTGGAGTGGATCTCTGCAGCCGCAGGCTCTGGTGCGTGCGCCGACCGCATGCAGATGCAGAGGTGGCAGTGACGGTACAGACCACTGAGGACCGGTCGCAGCAGGCGCGCGGCCACGTCGATCCCTGCCTCCTGCAGCCACGGCCGCCGCCGGCGCCCGTGACGCGCAGCCTCGCTGCTGTCGTCGTCTCGTGCCGCTTCGTCGGTGGTGGTGCCGCCGGCGAGGCGGCCGAGGATGTCGAACGGGCCGATGGTCTCCAGCGTCCGCGTGTCCAGCTCGTACGGCTCGCCGCCTTCCCAGAGGCAGAGCACGCGGCCGCCCCAGCGTAGCACGCTGGTGTTAGCCACGTTCTTCATCACCTTCACGTTGCCCACCCGGTTCCCGCCCTGCAGCACCGAGAAGGGGCCCCGGTGCGTGAACTGCCACGACGACGCGCCGCCCGCGTCGTCGTGCTCCTCCCGCTTCGCCGCGGTCTCCACGTACCGCGCGGAGTAGTGCGCCGTCGCCTCGACGCCGTCGTCGGCGCCACCGAAGCGGAACGAGCGGAGGTAGCCGTGGCCGTCGAGCGGGTGCACGGTGGACCCGTGGTCGTCGGCGAACATCCCAGGCCCGGCGAGGTAGTAGGTGCCCGCTGGGAAGTCTGGCGGGATCGCGCCCTCCGTGACGCGGAGCGCCACGGGGTCGCGGGACTCGGCGCGCTGCGACCGGAATAGGAGGTTGTAGTCCCAGAACGCCGCGGACGGCGAGTCCGGCGCTGTCGCCGCGGCGCCCGGGGTGCTGGTGACGGTGGCCGCGGCCGCGGCGCGGACGACGACGCTGCTGCGCCCGTGGCCGCGAGAGCAGCAGCGAGGCGGCGGTGTGCGGTGGCCAGGGTGGTGGTGCACGACGGCGTGCATGACGGCAATGGTGTGCTGAGACATGTTTTGTTTTGTGTTGTGCTTGTGCCGGTCTCGGTCGCGGGCGCGTTGCTAGGCGTGGAGGAGTCGGAAATATAGATGCCCGGCCTTGTGCATTCTGCACTGGTGGTATCAGTGGTGTGGCCGTGGCTCAGTGCTGGTGGTTTGGCGCCTGGCCAAATTTGGCAGCACACAGTGACGAATCTTAAGGAAAGTCATCTATCTTCGCAGTTAGTTTTTGGAGCTTGGACTTGCTAAACAACGAGACCCATCATCATGCATCTTTTTGCAATATAATAATCCCATGTTCTATTTAGAACGGGTTGGATTTCGTGATGGGGACTTTTAATCAAATCTAATCGAACTAGATGAGATACATCCGGACGCGCTAAAATCTTGAGAGACATGATAAGTAACGTATCTATTATCTACACCTAATTAAAAAAAATTATCTTTGTGCCCTATCTTTATTTATTTTCTAATAAAATATGCATACAAATACTCTTTAATCCCTCTCTGGCTGTGATAATTTAACAATCAGCCGTTGAAAGATTAGGCCTATGCCTCATGGCATTACGAGTCTAAATTTTTATTTCAAAATTTTGAACATATTAGTTGTTATAAACCTTTTATCCTCATGTTAAATTAAAGTTCTTTTGCTTATTGCACATTTGTTTCGAAACTCTCCTTTCAGGTTTTATTAAAAAAAAGAATAAGTCATAGATTAGACTCTACGTTTGCTATAGTGGCATAAACAGTCGTATAAACTTGCACCATGGCATGCAAGAATCGTAATTTGAGTTAAAATGAGATCTAGGAGGGGCCAACAAGGCCTTCAACAGCAGGTGTTCATCACTTCAATCTTCACGTTATGTGAGTTCAAGCCAACCTTGCATCCATTTGAACTTAACCTTGTATGCTAGCAACGGATGTGAGTCCAAATTATCATGTTATAATTCAAACACCAAAATCACTTAATAGCCTTCAGTGATACCTTTGCTCCCTCCTCGTCTCTTCCTCGCGCCCGTCCGACTCCCGCGTCCTTCGCACCTTCCAGACCATATGACCAATCCCCCTCGAAGATCTAGGCACAATCATTTGTTTGTATCTCGTAACAATGGAGAGGTGGACACTTGATTTGTCGCATCTAAGTGCCATGGCCGCGACAGATGCTTGGCCTCCACTTCCTCTTTGTCCTCTTCCTCTCGTATGATCTGCTAGGCGGGAGCATCGCCCGCCGCAGCCCGTCGGCGAGGTGGAGGGCCCGCTCAGGGGTACCGGGTACGCTTCTTTGAGTACATGGAGCGACTGCACAACTATGATCGCTCAACGTGCCACCACCAGGCGCCGGCACTAACTCCGAAGACAGATTCTACCTCGGCCACATGCGCCACATCAAGAACTAAATTCCTTCCCCACCAACGTGTTACATATTTTGAGATGATTGCAATTACAACCAAGATTAAGGTCCTTAGGAGTGAGAACCACTAATAAGCTCCAATATCTAAAACTTTACAATATCAACTTTTAGGTGTCTTATTTGCGCAGGGGCAAGTGGAACTCAGTGAAACATCAAAATACTTTTTTCTATGTATTATAAAAAAATTATATGTAAAATATGAGTTAAAGTTGTATTTTGAAGACCATGTTGATGTTCAAAGCATCACTTGTTTGTGACAATGAGTATGATCTGTATGATTTAAACCTACAACGACATTGGGTTTTGGAGATCCAACCATTCTACGGAACTAAACTAAGAGTGCTTTCTTATAAGATGAGATGAAGCAGTAAAAAGAAAACCATGATTTTTGTACTGCATACATATAATGTCCATTTGAATCGATCCATGATGGGAGTGTTTAATCAAATTTAATGGTAAGCCAATGGTAAGCCTTGTTGCGTAGATGAAGAAGTGGTGTGAATGGCGTCTCCGGGGGTGCTTTTAAGCTTTTTGGAGGGTTTTGGCCAGGGAATCGGTGGCATTTTGGGTGTGGAATCCCAGGGTGGTTTGTTTGTTTGTTGTGGCATAATAATCGTGATGCTTGTGCGACTATGCGTTTTAAATAAGGGGCAAAAGTGAGGTAGCTTCCTTTCTCAATTAAAAAAGGGGGAGTCGCTGGATTAGTTAGTTGTATCTAAAAAAATCTCGAATGAGGCCGCAACAAATCTCCATAGGAAGCGCCCGTCGCTCGCTGTCAAGTGTCAACGACCGCGCCACTGTTCGAGAGCCCACAGATGTGTCTACAGCCGTTGCTCATTTTCAAGACCAAATTTTGTCATTAGAGGTACTGCACAAAGAGGGTGGCTCTAATAGCACGTTGGATTCGACCGTGATTTGCAGTTTACATGCCATACAGGCAGGCCTTCTGATTACAACCACATGGATTGGTAAGCGAACTTCACTCAGCTCGTTTTTCAGCCAATGGCTCGGATAAATGAACACGGCACAGGAAGAAATTCAAGGTTATCACTGTAACCACAGGCATTTTGTTTGAGTCAAGTGCTCAAGCACAGCAGACAAACAGACAGCACTAAAATATGCAAGGAATACCAATCCTCACACACGGAAATGTTAGTAAAATGGACAGCATGATTGGGAAATATGTTAGTAAAATGGACAGCATGATTGGGAATAGATTCAGCATGCACCGGAGAATGGGCGGAGTTCCCCGCTTTTCTCGAATGTGCTATATGAGCAGGGAGAAGAAAGTTTCCACGAGCTAGTGCACTAATCAAAAACCAAACGGAAGGCACTTCGTCCATTGGATGCAGGTGGCGACGTGGAGTTCCCTGTGGGACCTCGGGCTCCACCATCGAAGTTTTGCCTCCAATCCTCGCTAGTAACTTGATGAAGTGGTGCCATTTCAAGTCTGTTGTCCTATCAGTACTGCACCTGCTGCTGCTGAACCTGGACGGCTGAACCAAGTCTTTAATAAAGACAAAAAAAAAAAGAGGATGGAATCAAGTATTGTAGAGAGAGCTTCTGATGTTTTCGGAGAAGGATTTGTCGTTAGAACCATGGCTTTATGTCTAAAAAAAAGGCAAGTGGCAAGTGCGCCACTGAACACAGCAGCTGAACAATGAACCAAGACCTGGTGAATATCAGGCATTATGAACTGTATACGATATCTAATGTGCCATTTCGTTCACCAGCAAAAACACTTCATTTCTGAACTATCACTCTCCATGACCTAAGCTAAGCAGCCTTTGCACTCCAGAGTTGCTTTCCATTATAAGTCCAAGACCATTTGAAAGTTAAAAAAAGTATCTATATTCAAGTAAAACCAAAAGGATCATGCAGTAATATTACAGAACAGAACAGGAAATTTAGGTTTAGACCAACTGGCTAGAGTTGCCGATTTGCCAGGTTTGACTCCCAGAGGGAGCGGATTTACGTGGCCTGGACAAGTATTTCCGTTCAAATTGAATGGAAATGGGGACTGAATTTTTTATTTTTCAGTCTTTTTTGAAAAATATTCATAAATAGACCTCTGGTGGTTTGATTTTTGTTTAGGGACCCTAACCTCGACGCCATGGCTTTTGGCGCCGAGGAAACACGTCTCGGCGCCATGGCCCATGGTGCCGAGGTCTTGGCGATGCGTCGGACGTGGCGGTGACCTGGCGCCGACGTGGACAAGACCTTGGCGTCGTAGATCTTGGTGCTGAGCTGTTACCCTATATATCTTAGCGTTTGAAATAAAACAAGTATAATTGTTCCGAGAAACAAGCAACAATGCCATTACGGTTCAGCTGGTTAGGATGCGAACGATTTAGCTCAAAGGTCTAGGTTCGAACCCTGAATCTTTTTTTTTCTACATTTTCATAAGCAAGAGTACCCCAACGCCATTGCGGGCATCTGCGGCGGCCCGTTTTCAGCCGCGTACGCATGCGGCGTTTGTTGCGGCGACCGCGATCGCGTTTGTCGCTGCTGCCTTGCATGGAAACGAGAATAGTGACTGGTTGCGTACGCGTGTGTTCATTTTCTTATTTACTTCACAAATTTTTTTAGTGATCCATATGTTAGCTAAAAATATATATAAATTACACAAAATACTATGTATCGTTAGGAATATGTGACTGATTTTTTTAGCAACCTCCACGGGCGGCTCGTCCCCTGCCGCGGCCGCCCTACGCCCCGCGCGCCGTTGGGCCCTTCACCGGCGATGAGCACCCACCAGGTATGCCCAGCCCTTCCCTCCCCTCCTTTCCGTGTCCGCTCGTGTAAAGTTTTTCTCATTTGAGGTAGATGGGCGGGTGTCTTTTATCGAGCAATGTCTTTTCAAGTCCGTCACCAATTGCTATCGGTAGTACGAAGCTGAGATGCAAAGCAGATCGGATCAAGCTGTAGGCACAATCAAATGGAATGAGATACTGCAAATCAGTTGCACTATTGCTGAAAACAGCATATGGCAACTGAAAGCAACAACACAAAAAGATATATTTTCCACTGATCCATGATTTGTTTTCTACTGGAAAAGCAGCATCCACTTATTTTAGTGGCCTAGTTAAAAGACTGAAAATACAATGACTGAATTGAAAATACAATGACTGAATAGAATGTCTAGCAAAAACAAATTGCTCCTGCCACCACCAATCTGTCCTGTGGTGATTGCCTCATAGAGTACAGTACAAAATGCTAATGAGAGTCTCTTCTTGCAAAATGCTAATGAGCATCTCTTCTTGCAGGCCAATATGCTGCGGTTGTACCTCACCTGCATCGGGAACACGCTGGAATTCTTTTTAGCTTCAGCTCTGAGGCTCCTCCTCCTGCTGCTACTGTTCCCAGTTCATCACGAGCCGACGAGCCTGCTGCAAAAAAAAAAAAAAAAATCCATATGTCAAATATTCCTAACGATACATAGTATTTTGTGATGAAATCTAGAGCTTAATATGGTTTTTAAAACATATGGCCAGACTTAACCGTGAAGTAAATAAGGCCATATGTGGCCATATTAAGTCTGCCCATACGTAAATTTTCGTTAGGAATATGTCAAACCTTTTAATTGATCTGCTGCACATATCCATATGTCAAATATTCTGCTTTTAAAAAAAATCAATCACATATTCCTAACGATACATAGTATTTTGTGTAATTTACGTATATTTTTTAGCTAACATATGGATCACTAAAAAAAATTGTGAAGTACATAAGAAAATGAACACACACATACGCAACCAGTCACTATTCTCGTTTCCATGCAAGGCAGCAGCGACAAACGGGATTGCCGCAGCGACAAACGCCGCATGCGTACGCGGTTGAAAACGGGCCGCCGTAGAAGCGCGCAATGGCGTTGGGGTGCTTATAAAAATATAGCAAAAAAAAATTCAGCGCTAGGGTTCAAATCCAGGTCTTTGAGCTAAGTCACGCACGTCCTAGCCAACTGAACCGCAATGGTGTTGTTGCATGTTACTCGGAACAATTATACTTGTTTCATTTCAAACACCAAGATGTATAGGGTAACAGCTCGGCGCCGAGCTTGACGCCGCTAAGATCTATGGCGCCAAGGCTTTGTCCACGTTGGCGCCAGATCACCGCCACGTCCGACGCCTCGCCAAGACGTGTTTCCTCGGCGCCCAAAGCCATGGCGCCGAGGTCAGGGTCCATAAACGAAAATTAAACCTGTTATTTGTGAATATTTTTTTAAAAAAAGGACTAAAAATAAAAAAATCGGGAACGGGAAATCTCCCCTTTCGAAAAAAGTAAAATATGTATGATGGGACAGCAAAAGCTGAGGCAGAATTGGGTTTAGTAAAAGATATGCTAAAGAATTATCAGCCTCCGAGTCAGATACAAGCAAAAATGTCTGTCAGGTAGATCGTAGATCGAGATATCATGGTATATAATATATTAGAGTCCCGTATTAAGATGTTAGGAAGGATTTCTTGCTCTTCAGTCCTACTCTTTTAAAACAAATTTTGTTCTTCTATTTAAATACTCCCTCCTTTCTAAATTAATATAGTTTGTTTTAGGTTTGTCCTAAGTCACAATTTTCTAACTTTAACCACTTTTTTAGAAAAATGTATTAACATCTACAAATTCAAATAAATGCACTCTCAAGACATATTTCATGGATAAGTTAATGAAACTAATTTGATATATTTGTATGCAATTTGGAACGAAGGAAGTAGCAATGAAAAAAAAATAGAATACGAAAGTGCTAGTACTTAGTTTATTTAATCATTAGGAGATCTCTTGAATAACATATCTCACCCTCATGCGTCAAAAAAAACATCTCTCACCCTCTACAAAAAAAAAGGGGCAACCTGCAGGTTTGCTAGAATAATTTCTTTCGGTGTGAGAGAGCATACTTTTGCATGCATGAAAATTTTTATCTCACAAATCATGGACAGTAATCAAAGTCGTATGACACATAACTCAGCCCCATGACAAATAACGTTGCAAGACCATGCCTCAAGGACAACTAATGTAGTGAGCAGAAACGACAACACTGAAACATTTCATTAAGCAACTTCAGTCCAATTCTGTTTATGCATGTACAACAGTTTTATTAAACTTTTAGCATTACATACATAACAGGTTCATGATAAAGCATTTATAAAATGCTATACAACATTATTGCTTCAAACACAGTTTATACTACAGAGATATTCAGAGCTTCAAAGCAATGGTCATATTTTGCAAAGCTAATCACTTAACTAAACCTACTGACATCACTCTCTTTCTGGTTTAGATGCATTTTCTCTCGTTCAAGAGAAACACTAAGTAGTACAAGCATCACATCTATTCACAGGATGAATGAATACAGCTGCATATGTAGTCTGCAGTTTTATAACCTTTGCAGGCCAATCTCATGTGAAGTTTTAAAACAGATGATTCTGAACTGCAGGCAATAAATACTGCTTAGCTTAAACAGATTGAGACCTCAATTGGTCAAATTTACCAAGCAAACTACACAATGTCAATATCTTCCTCAACAGTCGCCAACAAAGTTACAAATAATAATAAGTTGGCACACAAACACCCCAACCAAACTTTAGGTATTCTTAATGCAATCGTGAGTCAAGCCCACATTGCCATAAAGTACATGACAATACAAGAAGAGAGGCACAGGAATATACACAATGTCAACACCTTGAGTCATTGTGCAAAAATTGGACTAGTTTCATCAAATTAAGGGGGCCTTCTGGCCATCAACTGAAAATTTTCATACTGGCAAAACAAAAAAAGAAATCCTTAAATTTATCCTTTTTAAAAGAAAGATACGGCAGTACCTAACAGCTAGATAATGATAGATCCCAGCAGAGCAGTATAGAGGCAGAGACCCACATCATGCTTAATCAGCATAAAAAATTAGAGGTTCTTTTCACAATCAGAAGGATAATTTTTCAGACTGAGAGGGTTAACATGAAGTATTCCCTCTGACCTCAAATATATTTTCACTAAAGTCGATTTGATTAACAAAATCACTAGTTACAGAAAACACATTAGTGATGCTGCTGCTAACTCCTTAATTAAATGCCCTCACTTGGTTTTCAATATATTTGAGATAGTGAATCAACCATTTTCCATGAAATATCCCTGATGTTGTTGGCACTTGGCAGTTAGGTACTACTGAAATAACGTCATTCAAGTTCATATGTCACAAGCAAAAAAAATCATGAACAATAACCAAAGTAGGATGGCACATAACTTGGACACATTCTCAATAACGTGCAAAACCTTTGCCTGAAGCAGAACTGATCTTCATGATCAAGGGCGTACCCAGTGCAGAGAGCTCCCGCTCTGTGCGGGGTCTAGGGAAGGGTGTCAGTGGCAAGCCTTACCCTCGCCTGTGCAATGCGAGGAGACCACGACTCGAACCCGGGAATCTTCATGATCAAGCATTTATAAAATATTGTCCAATCCAACATTATTGCTTCAAACACAACTTTTATACTACAAAGATATTCAGAGGACTCAAAGCAAAAGCCTTATTTTACAAAATTAATCAGTTAACTAAACCTACTGATATCTCCCTCTTTGTGGTTTAGATGCGTCTTCTCTACTCATTGAAGAGTACCATTAACCAGTACAAGCATGACATCTATTCACAGGATGAAAACAGCAAAATATGTAGTTTACAGGTTTACAACCTTTGCAGGCCAATCTCATGTGAAGTATTCTTTTTAAAACAAATGATTCTAAACTGTATACAATCAATACTGCTTCCCTTAAATAGATTATAACCTGAATTGATCAAATTTACCAAACAAACTACAGAACTTCAACATCTTCCTCAACAAGTTGCCAACAAAGTTACATATAATAAATGGGTGCACAAACATGAAACATCTCAACAAAACTTAGGTAGTCTTATTGCAATCTTGAGTCAAGCCTACATAGCCATAAAATACATGACAATATGAGAAAAGAGGCACAGGAAAATACCATGAAGGCACGAAGCAGCTCAGCCAGTGATCATGGTGCCTGTGCCCTCGTCTGTGAGAATCTCAAGCAGAAGGGAGTGTGGAACACGCCCATCAATGATACTTGCGGTGTGTACACCTTGTGCAAGGGCGCGAACACAGCACTCAACCTTGGGTATCATCCCACCAGCTACCTTCCCGTCGGCCACCATCTGCCGCACCCCAGCAATGTCAATCTCCTTCACCAGGCTCCCAGGGTCATTACGGTCCGCCAGAATCCCAGACACATCCGTGAGCAGCAGCAGCTTCTCGGCGCCCACGGCAGCGGCAATCTCGCCAGCCGCCGTATCGGCATTGATGTTGTAGGCCTGCCCAGTCTCGTCGGCGGCCACGGTGGCGATAACCGGGATATGGCCCGCGGCGATGATGGGATGGAGGACGGTGGCGTCCACGCGCGAGACCTCGCCGACGAATCCCAGCGCCGCTGCGTTTGGGGACGGGCGCGCGGTGATGAGGCGCGCGTCCTTGCCGCAGAGGCCAACGGCGGTGCCTCCAGCGATGTTGATGAGGGAGACGAGGTTCTTGTTGACCTTCCCGACGAGCACCATCTCGACGACCTCCATGGTGAGCGCGTCCGTGACGCGGAGGCCGTCGCGGAACTGCGGCTCGACGCCGACGCGCAGCAGCCAGGAGTTAATCTCCGGCCCCCCGCCGTGGACGAGCACGGGGCGGAGGCCGACGCAGGAGAGGAGCACGAGGTCGCGGATCACGGACGCCTGCAGCTCCGGGGACTTCATCGCCGCACCGCCATACTTGACCACCACCGTCTTGCCTTTGAATCGCTGGATGAAAGGGAGCGCCTCCGAGAGCACGTCCACTCGGCTCAGCGCCGCGGTGGCAGCGGCGGCCGCCGCCGCCGCCGCCGAAGGAGCCGGCGTAGCCGTGGATGTGGCGGAGATGCGGAGGCGGCTGCGACGGCAAGTGGGGGCGGCAAGGGGCCTGGCATGGTTGGAACTGAGAGTGGGGCTCGAGAGCGGCGGGGATGGGACTGGGAGGAGCGACTTGGAGAGGTGGGGTTTCGTGAGGAGCATGGCTGTGGTGGCTGGGGCTCGACTCGGCGTTGGCGTTCGACGAAATGTCTAGGCCGAAAGGGTTTTCTTACTCGTTCATTTTATATTTCTCTACTCGTGAGGGAGTATATACGGACAGTTTGGTTTTAAAACTTTATAAATAATAATTTGTAGAAAAATTTTCTTTTATTTTAGTTTTCTATCAAACCAAAACGCGTCACTTTAACCTTACCTTACTAGGATCAAAGTCTGTTTGAATTTAAGCGTTAATTGTTAGCTAGCTAAAAATTAGTCCATGAACTCTAAATGAAAGAGCTAATAGGTGAGTTAAGTTTTCATACTAGTCTTCAACTAATTTTAGCTCATTTAGTAACTAGTAGCCATAGCTAATTTGGACTAATTTTTAGCCATCTATTAACTAGCCATGTGTATCAAATATGCCCTTATTCAAGTCATGATAAAAAGAATACTTGAGACCAAAACTATTGAGTGTTTTTTCTTAAAGGAGATTACCTTTTTCTAAAAGATTATCTCAAAGAAAACAACTCAGATATAAGTGCTGGGGTTTGGGGATACCAACCAGCAAAGATACGAAGGAAGGAATGTACCAAGTTCAACACAAGTTGTCCCTCGTTTCAACTTTGGCTTATCCTAAATTAAACATTGATCGAATTTATAAAAAATATATTTGTTATGACCGGCGTCATATATACCAGGAGGAGGCCTATTAGTGGCTGAGCTTGTGCGCCGGCATTAGAGGGCTAACAGCTCATATTATCTATTATTTAGCCTATTTATTAGATATATCCCTTATTTTTAGAGCTATATATATGGCTTGTAAGACATTTGGATAATCAAGCAGAAACAATTTTAATTGTTTTCGGCTTCCTTTGGGAGCCGGATTTGCCCTAGCCGCACTTTGTTCATCTTCTCCACATTCACGCAACCTCGCGACGGCGCCCAGCCACGGCGGCCGAGATCCCAAGCTTGCTCCACCTCCCTCTCACCCCTACAGACTCCATGATCTACGCGGTAGGATCCGTAATCCTATCGGCTGGTATCGATCGCTTTCGAGAACGATGTCACAACCTCAGCCGACCTCCTCCTTCCCACCACCACCTACCTCCACCGCGCCCTTCCAATCTGCGAGCTCCGAGATCTCGGATGGCTCGACGACATCTGCTGCGCCGCTTACGCTCAAGTCCTTGGCGGCTGCGATCCTCGACATCAACCGCAACATCGCGTCCATGCAGGCGGCTTGGGCGGGGCTCGTCCAGCAGCCCTCCCCCCCGCCGTTCTCGACGCCGCCGCCGCCAACGCCGCCGTCCACGGGGGTTCCCTCTGTGAGCTCCCAGCCGCTGCTCCCGGCCTCGAGTTTTCCTTACGGGATGCCGGTCTCGGGCCCTGGAGTGCCGCTCCATCTTCTGCGCTGGCCGGCCTCGCCGTCCCCGATTCCATCATGGGCGATGGGCTCGGCTGCTCCTCCGGTCTACACCAACGCCACCACCATCACGCAATAATCGGCGGCCGCGCCACACGTCGTCGTCGGCGATCTGCAAAGAGTCATCTCGGGGGATGGATGCCTCCCCCCCGGGGCCCCACAATGGCGGATCGGCCGCTATCTTCGGCGCCCATGCTGCTCCAAAGTTCTACAAACTCGAGTTCCCCATGTATGACGGCTCCGTCGACCCGCTCAATTGGTTGAACCAATGTGAGCAATTCTTCCGGGACAATGACGATGGCTTCGCAGCACCACTGGCTCGCGTCCTATCACATGAAAGGGCGCCATACGACATGGTACTATGCCCAGAACAAGACGAGGCATGCCGCCACAGGGCGCTTTGGGAACTCTGATCCCTCCGCTTTGGACTGGCTGTACAAGGCACTCGCTTGGCCGAGTTGGCGCGCCTGCCGTTCCTCTCCACCGTGCAAGACTACTCCGGCGCTATAACGCCGTCTGTGCCATGCCCGTGACCTCTCCCTCGCCAAAAGCGGAGTTGTACGCGTGGGCTACCGGACGGATCAAAGTGCATGTGGAGATGCGCGGATCTCAATCGCCATGTACTTGGCTCGGCGTTCGGATATGCCGTTCAGCGCCCCCGCCCGGACCTCCTCAGCCAGCCCGCCCCTCCCCACGCAGCGGCGGGCGTGGCTCGTCCCGGGCGCTGCCCCCCTCCGGCGTGCGCGTTCACGCCAACGCCACGGCACGTCCGTTCCGCCGCCTCACCCCGGCGAAGATGGCTGAGCGCCACCGACAAGGGCTATGTTTTAATTGTGACGAGCCTTATGTTCGCGGCCACGCTCGCCAAAGACTTATTCTACGTGGAGTCTGACGGCGACATCGCGGTGATGATGACGCTGCTGCGGTTGCCGTCCATGTGGAGGACTCGACGGCCCCGGAGCTCACCGGGCTAATGCTTTCGTCGTCTCTCTTCATGCTGTTGCAGGGATCCGGTCGGTGAACTCCATGCTCGTGCCGATCACCATCAAGGGAGAGCGCTTCCTTGCCCTCGTCGACACCGGGTCGACGCACAACTTCCTCTAGGGTGCTGCCATGCGCCGCCTGGGGCTCTCTCCGTCCGGTGGCGAGGATCTTCGCGTCACGGTCGCTAATGGTGACCGCCTAGCCTGCGCGGGGATCACTCGCGACGTCCCCATCCGCATCGCTGACGAGGACTTCATCATTACGTGCGTCGGTTTGGACCTCGGCGGGTTCGACTTCCTCCGGACGCTGGGACCCATCTTGTGGGACTGCACCGCCCTCACCATGGCGTTCTGGCACGACGGTCGGCGTGTCACTTGGCAAGGCGTGGGCGGTTCGGCCACGTCTACCGACCAGCAGCGCTTGACCGTGACCACGGTCACCGATGACTCGGCGCTGCCCCTGTTGGACAGCCTCCTTCAGCAGCACGGCGCCATCTTCGACGAACCCCACGGGCTCCCTCCGGCGCGCCCCTACGACCACCGCATTCACCTGTTGCCCGGTACCGCGCCGGTGGCGGTGCGCCCTTACCGCTACCCCCAGCTCCAGAAGGACGAGCTGGAACGTCAGTGTGCAGAGATGCTCACGCAAGGCATCATTCGACCGAGCACCTCGCCGTTCTCCGCGCCGGTCCTCTTGGTGCGGAAACCGGACAAGTCCTGGCGCTTCTGCATCGACTATCGTGCCCTCAACGCCAAGACCGCCAAGGACAAGTTTCCGATCCCAGTGGTTGACGAGCTGCTTGATGAGCTCCATGGTGCGCGCTTCTTCACCAAGCTGGATTTGCGCTCTGGTTATCACCAGGTGCGCATGCACCCCGACGACGTTACTAAAATGGCGTTCCGCACGCACCATGGCCACTACGAATTTTTGGTGATGCCGTTCGGTCTCTCCAACGCTCCGGCTACCTTTCAGGCGTTGATGAACGATGTCCTCCGGCCGTATTTGCGCAGGTTTGTGCTGGTATTTTTTGATGACATCCTAATCTACAGTTCCTCCTGGGCCGAACACCTACAACATGTCAACATCGTCCTCCATGCCCTGCGAGCGCACAACCTCCACCTCAAGCGCTCCAAGTGCTCCTTCGGCGCTACGTCCGTGGCTTATTTAGGCCATGTTATCTCCAAGGACGGAGTGGCCATGGACGCAGACAAGGTCACGGCGGTTCATGCATGGCCGACCCCATGCTCCGCCCGCGGTCTCCGAGGCTTCCTGGGCCTCGCAGGCTACTACAGAAAGTTCATTAAGGATTTCGGCGTCATCGCTGCCCCGCTGACGCGTCTCTTGCGGTGAGATGTGTTTGTTTGGGACGACGACGCGACCATGGCGTTTGAGGCGCTCAAGGCCGCCCTCACTACGGGGCCAGTCTTGCAGATGCCTGACTTCGATAGGCTCTTTGTCGTGGATTGCGACGCGTGGGGTGCGGGGTTCGGTGCCGTCCTTCACCAGGGCGCTGGACCCCTCGCCTACTTCAGCCGGCCTTTCGCTGTCCGCCATCTCAAGCTTGCGGCTTATGAGCGCGAACTCATTGGGCTGGTGCAAGCCGTTAAATCATTATTGCGCGCGTATTTGTGGGGGCATCACTTTTTGGTCCATCTTGATCATTACGATTTTAATTTTTACTTGACCGGTAACTTGTCCACGGTTCCCGGCAAAGATCGTGGCTCGGCAAGCTTTTCGACTTCGATTTTGCGGTGGAATATCGCCGGGCCGCCTCAACACCATGGTCGACGCGCGTGTCCCAGCGTGCGGACGCCGAGGCCGTGGACGCGCCGCAGCAGCGCGCGCGCGCTGGCCATCTGGGCCGTCCTTTGCCTTCTGGATGCGGTCCGTAGTGCTACAGCCCACCGCCCCAGACCTGCGGCAGCAGCTCTTTGCCGCACCGCTTCCAGCGCCGGGCGACTTAAGCGGCGCCGTGGCGCGAGGACGCCGGGTTCTTCTTTGCATGGCGGTGTATCTTTGTGCCCGATGTCGGTGACTGCGCCCACCAAGTCCTACAACCCGCCCATGCGGCTGGACATGAGGGTGTCAGAAGACTCTCCACCACCTCCGCGCCGACTTCTACATCCTAGGGGATCGCTCCCTAGTCCAGGACTGGGTGCGCACTTGCGCGACGTGCCGGTATAAACAAGACGGAGGCATTCCGGCCGGTATTGGGCTGCTCCAGCCGCTGGAGGTGCCTGACCAAGTCTGGGCTGACATCTCCATGGATTTCATCGAAGGGCTGCCCAAGGTTGGCGGGAAATCCGTCATCCTCACCGTCGTCGACCGCTTCTCCAAGTACGCGCATTTTATTGCGCTTGGGCACCCCTACACGGCTACCTCCGTCGCTCGCGCCTTCTTCGACAACATCGTCTGGCTCCATGGGTTCCCTTCGTCGATCGTCAGTGATCGGGACCCCGTGTTCACCGGCCATGTCTGGCGGGATCTCTTCCAGATGGCGAGCGTCAAGCTTCGCATGAGTACCGCTTTTCATCCTCAGACCGACGGCGAGTCGGAGGTGGTCAACAAGGTGATTGCCATGTATCTCCGTTGTGTT